TCTGTCTCTTTAATAGCTATATAGAAACAAATGCCGAAACGAATCAGATGTTATTCCGTATGTGATGTATTAAGGATTATATATGTCATATTGAGCAAAGATCGTTTAATGTCACCATTACAGAAGAAGGGTTATTTCGATGGTTGTTGAATGCCAAACGTGAATGCCTTTCCCGAGAACTTCAGAATAGAGAAATATTTCCAGATATTGATTCTATTATCCGGAATAAAGATGTACCAACTGTTCGGTTATAGGTAGCATATATATTGGAGAAATTCCGTTCTCGATGTTTATTTGGTTGGAGAATGGTCGATTTTTTCAGAGACGCGGGTATGATAATTTCCATCATAGAATTTATTCCTAAATCTGATAAAAATGTTATATCATTATCTCAAGTTATGAAGGTGAATTTTGCTACTGTTAAAGCAGAGAAGATATCAGAAATAACTAATGCTATGATTGTCAATCATGAGACTACTGAATTTTTGGAAAATAGGCCAAGAAAGACTTTGGAAGAAATGCGCTCTTTAGACTGGTACCATATTGTAGATTGTTATCAGATTCTACCCGAATTACTAACCAAAGACTTCATCTCAAAGTATAGGAGTTATAATCATATGAAATGGTTTAGAGCTTATAAGCAATTACGAGATGCTGGTACTAATAATGAAATGGCCATTGAAGCTATCACCCGTAAAGATTTCAGGGAAGATAGACTTACAACTACCACTCGAGCTGAGAGGCATCGAATTTGTCTTGAATTACTAAAAAATTGTACACCTGCTAGAGATATTGATGATAGAGCTGGATATAAAGCTGACGATGTTAAGATATGTTTGAATTCTCCTGAATCAATATCATATCTCCAGGATTTAGTTCCCAAAATGGCTTGAGTATTTGATAATACAGATGTATCGTATAGAGCTAAAAAATCAGAGTTAAAAACAGTTTAGGCAAAACTGGGTTTACTAAATTCTGCACTATATACAACGTATGGATTGAAACTTAAAGCTACTAATAAGAAAAGATCGTACTATCATTTAGTTAGCCTATTTGATAGTAGAGACACTCCTAAGCTTCCTTTATATCAAACGGGAGAAGAAATATACTGGGAGAATGGTAAAGATGCCCAATATGCTTATAGTAAGCTCACTTCTGATGAATTATTATTAGGCAATCTTTCTGGTTCTAACAAAGCAAATACTGTGAAAATCACAGAAGATATCCAGAATTTATTTGATATCTGTTAATATTATTCTACTATGGTATAATAAAATTAACTTAGATATCACTACCTTGCTGGTCAAGAAAGCTTCAGCTTACTAACCCAAATCAAAAAATTTTTTTAACACATCGGAAAGTCAGGGTAGCCAAGTGCCATTATTTTTTATAATAGTTATGCACTTGGCTACCCTGAATATATACTGATGTACCCTATACCAAACAGGGAAAAAAATTTATTGAGAAAATGGTGAAGATGCTCGGTATGGGTATAGTAAATTTTCACCCGATGAATTGTTAATGGAAAATCTTTTGGAGAAAAAACAAACCAAAGATACTTCCAGTTCTAATATGAATACTATACCATGTGAATACTATACCAATTGCAAAAGATATTCAAGATTTATTTGATATCATGTAGGTGAATCTGTTGTAAATGTAGTGTGAATACAATACTGAGTTTTATGAAATCGAAATATACCTGATGCACTTTATTTATATATTTAAAAATAGCACTATTCGACTTAATGATATAAATGAAAAAAAATTTGCTTACTTTCCGGCAGATAATTCAGAGGGGATTCCTAATGCTCCAAATTTCAAGCTAACCACTAATCCCCAAAGAGGTCAAGACCCGTATCCTCATCGTTCTCATCATCTGACTCAGAAATGGGAGCTTCATAGATTCTGGGTGGCTCTGGAGCTGAGCTTTTAATTACAGCTCTATTACCTAGTATTTTGACTTGGATCGAATCCGTTCCTAACGAGTCTGCAAATAGTTGTGAAGAAACGGGAAACAAGTGTTCACGGATCGAAGCACTACTATCATCTGACTTGGAAATTAGAGCTTCAGGGATTTTGGGTTGAAGGGCCTCAGCCCTATACTTCTGCCTCATTCGATAATTTAGTGAATGAAATCTACCCGAATGATCAGGACAACATCCCGTAGTAGAAACGGTATATTTACGACAATCACTAACAAGGCAGGGTTTTTTTTTATATTTTTTTCATATAATTTCCAGTACCTATAACACCCTGTAGGGCGCCAGGAATTATTTCTACAGACGGTACCATCCTTCTTGATATATGTACAAGTAAGGTGAGCCATGGCCAGAGGCGCTAAAGCAAAAGTATTTTAGGATATAAAACCCTCTTCACTTTTAATTTTATAATAAAATGTGTATTTAAATTAATCGATATTATGATGAGATAAAACATCTTTTCATACAAACATTATGGACATATTAGACCAACTGACAGATAAATCTCGCAAAAAAATCTTTAATCCCAAAACTAATCGCATGATCATTATAAATAGGTCAGTATATAATAAATTGCTACGTGAAGGCTATATGCATTGGAAAGAGGAAAGTCTCTTGATTCCGCCATTTAATGAAATGCTAATATTGAGAAAGTACCTTTCTTTTATATCTAATATGATCACGTATGATCCAGAAAAAAGTTTACTTACGTTAATTAATGAAAAAGTAAGTTTGTTACAGATTTTACTCAAAGTATATAATGATAGTGCTACAAACCAGTTATTAAAAACCAACTGGAATAGTAAAAAAACGCAGGAATGGAGAAGTAATATACTTATAAAATTCCTCCATCACCTGAATTTAGCTCCTTCGAAACATAGACCGGGTGCTTTATATGATGTGTTCACTGAGGCAAATGCTTTAGGACCAGAACACATATTAGCTTTAGCACGAACGTTTTACTAAATATTACTATAACATCTCGGCTTTAGGCTATTTATAGCCTTGGAATGGGGGTTCCATGACTATGTATTTTTTTCACATATTCTATCTACCCGCAATTTTCAAATCAATGTAAACCTCTCCCAGGCCAAGCAGGTGGCCTTATAGAGACCTCCGCATAAGTTATATCATTCTTTCTCTTCTTCCAACCCTCCGATAGCTTTCACCAACTATGAGATAGTAAATTGTCGAAATATTTTTTTCAAATTGAACTTTTTCCTAGAATATATAATCTGAAAACTACAGATTAATCTAACACTCACCCTATATTCTACTCACCACATCATATCTGCTATTACAACCAAGTTTGTCACAGATCACAAACTCACCAATGAGATAAGTCTCGAAGAGCTTAGCCAATATGCATCAGAAATACTTAAGCTTTTAACGGATGATAAAGAGAAAAAGCATCAGGCTCGTAATTGTCTTCTAAATAGATATAAATTTAGCAAAGAGCAAGTATTTGCATTGATTCCTCTCCAGAGAGTTGGACGATGCAAAAGTCAAGCGCCGGTCCCAGAGAGATCAGGGTTAGAAGCTAAGGAAGTGAATACATGTCAAGTATCTGATAGTACTTGTACTGATGAGACTATTAAAGAAATGGCTCAGCATATTGTACGAGATAAACTTAGCGAAAGAGATGTAAAAACAATATCTAGAACCTTAATTGAAACAGCCTCTGACTCCGTCGTTGCCTTATCACGTCTCTCTAGGCTTTGAAGAAAATTGCGAACTCTTAATATCCAAGAAACAATAATTTCTGCTACATTTAATCCAGAAGTAACCAGATTATCCAATAAAATCTAAAAGGAGCATAGCGATCAACACGAAGATAAAGGAATCGATTTTCCAGACCACTTTTTATTAGAATCAATTACAGAAAGGCTAAATTTGTACGATGTATCTAATATACCTGACAAACAGGCCCTAGCTGATGTAATGATCATGCTCTGTATCTGCCTAGCTGAAATTAAAAACTTGCGCATATCTAATGGAGATGTAACTGGGTATGCAAAAAACCGAGATCAACAGGATATTCCTCGGATGTTTAGATCACTAGAAAAAAATGAGAAGCGAGCAAGGGAATTGCTTACATGGATTCAGAAAGCAATTTCTTTTGGACAGTTAAGAGATCCTGGAAAGCTTAGATCTACGTACTTAAGTACATTTCTGAAAAAGGACGAATTTATTCCTGAAACAAAAAGTCGCAAACCACTTCTCTCTAGCTCTTTGCGCAAATTAGTGGCAGTATTTGCAGTTGTATCGAATGGTGCGAAGAATTTATCAGAGGTTATGACTATTGCCAGTCAAGCTCTTCGACATTCACCAGACAACCACGCGTCTCCAGCACAAAACTATACTATAGTGAATTTCCGCCGGAGAGGACAACCTTATGATCAAACAAAGGCATTCAAGCTCTCTAATAAAAACTAATCACATATGTAAGTTAGATACTGATTATTAATTTTTATTTTTTCGTTTAAAACATATATATTATATATAAAATAATACGAAAATGACCAGAATAGAAATAACTGAAAAGCATTCATCCAACAACAAGCGCGATGCACCTGGTGAGCAGGAAGTTATCAGATGTAGAAAGTTAGTAGCTCGGATATTTGGACTAGAAAAGATGATAAAAAAATTAGAGAGAGATGTAGGATTTCTAGAGACTGAATTAGAAGATTTAGGTGACAGTGTGGATAAGGACACTGTGGTTGACTTAATACATGAAATAGTTCCCACACACATTAATGAAAAAAGTAAGAGTTCCCCAATTCATCTGATTCATCCGAAGAATCTGATTCTGTTGAGATAATTGAGATAAGAGAACAAAAGGTTGTTCCTTATAAGCAACGAAGGAAGGCACGACCAAAAAGGTTAAGATAAAGAAAGCTATTAGCAGTTCGAAGTAGTGATCGCTAGTTGTTCACCGTTTTCCTAATGCTATTCTCTTTTTTTCTCGTAAGCTTGAAAAAAGATATATAGTTAACTGTTTCAGAAACTAAAAATCTGTCAACTAACTATATCTGGCTTCGAGTAAGAATTGCGAGAAGGCAGGATCACAATTTTGCATTGTTTATTAAATCAAACCCAAGTTTATCGTAATCAAAAAGATTTAAACCTTTCACAGGATGAGCTAAAACACCCAATAATGCATTGTGTTCTAATACTCCAAATGAATTAGATCTAGAAAACGCGAGAAATAATCCATTTTTTGCTTGCTCAGATAAATTAGGAAGGCGCATGGTAAATAGTCTAAGAAGGATTAAACGTTGACAAGCTTCCCGGTCTTGATAAAGTTTTTTCAAAGTATCTTCACCAAAATGATTTTGATAATCCCATCCATTATATAATTTGCCAGAAAACACATCATCATCTTCGCTATCAACATCATCTTCACTGTTACCATCGAATAGCCAGAATCCATTGTTATCATCATCGGACAGCCAGAATTCATCGTTATCATCAGTATTGGTGTCTAACCCAAATTTATTATCTAATAATCCCAAAGCCTCCAAGAATTCATATAACCCAATCTTATCACCAGCACTAGTGTTAGAATAGGTTTGTTCCATAATGATAAAATCACTTGAAGCCAGATATAGAAAGTTATCAGTACTGGATAACAGTCTTATAAGTTTAAATATATTTTTTTTCGAGCTTGCGAGAAAAAAAGGGGTTTTTAGCTTCTCTTGTCCTGTGGATGAGGGCATGTGATTTAACTGCATCCTGTGTTATGTAGTAGGTATTTTTGCAAATCTATGGGGATAGATCAATGAATAATTAATCCGTCAACTAATTTCCGGAATATTCTGGCATAGTACGCGTATTATAAATCTTTAAATTAGCATTACGCAAGTCAATCTGATGTCTCTGATCTTAGAATGGGACAAGAATAGAATTTACGCCAGCGATTTACAGATCTGATCCTACGAAATATGACGGGCACTATAGCATCATCCATTCTACATGATAAAATTCCATTATGGGTCATTGGTAGATTTGTATGAGGTACGAATAGGGGATTAAAATAGCATATAATTACGCAAAAAATGCGTGCAATCCCTCCCTATACTAATTAATTCGTGAATAAATGGATCGCCAAGCCTGAAATTAATTTTTTTTTAAATCTACAAATTAGATTTGTTAGTCATGAGGAATAAACTATATAAATAAGCTAAGTATAAGGAATTTTGTTATGTAAAACTTATCTGTACTTGCTTCGCCAATATCATTATGTCCCTTGCTAATCTCCAAAACCTCACTCTTAATATTTTAAAGGAAACAAAACATGATGCGGTACAAAATATCGAAGTTACCGAATTGCCACCATGTAAAATATGTAATAAAAAAATTTTAACAGTTAACTTTGAATCATTTACAATAATTCCATGCGGTCATGTGTATCATAGAAAATGTATTGAAAAAAATTTTTTACTTACGAAAAAAAACAAATGCCTTTTCCTGATTGCGACAAAACTGTTGATCCAGTAATATCTGAACGAAGGTTTTTTGAATCATCTCAATCTAGTGGAACTTCGGCTATTGCAGATATGCTAGGCGATAATCTTGGATTGGGTTCTCCAATGAATATATCACCATTATTTCCCTTACTTAATGAGACTACCCAGAAAAAATGCACTAGGGAATTATCTGCATCTACCGAAAAATCGTCTAGCAAAAAAGTGAAAAAACTGGTGGGAAGAAGGTATCAAGCACAATAAAACAACTTATCGAAGAATTATTAACCAATATTCCTGATAGTGGTAGGAGCTTGGAAGAAACAAGTGAAAGCGTAAGTAACTTTTTACAACTTTCTGAAAGGATTGATCATGCTAAAACTAAAAATGAAGAAGCATCTTGGGGTCTCATTTTCAGTTATTTTAATTTTGGGGAAGCCGTATTTAAACGATACAAGGAATTAAAACCCAAGTTTGGCAAGGATGGATCTGAAACGATAGTTAAAAAGAGGTTAGGGTGGCGATTCCCGAGACAAAATGCTCTGATGAAGCTTTGCGAAAAAGAACAGAGAGATCCAAAAAAATTTACAAGCTTTTTAATAGCATTGGGAAAGAAAAAATAGCCCGGATTAGATCTATCCCCCCATCATTCATCTTAAATCTAACTGCGGATGAAACCAAATATGTAATGGCTGAAATCTTAACGCATAAAGTTTGACGAGCTCGGACGCCCCTCAAAAATAGATTTTTTCGGATAATCATAGACTTGAAAGAAAAGCTGGGGAAATATTTTATCTTTTTTCGAATCTAGTGAGAAAAAAGGCCTCGGCCGTCATTTTTATTTGCTTTGTGAATGTGTATGAGTATGTGTATGCAATAAATAATTTTGTAAAATATGTGAAGTACTGTGCTATAAATTATCACTTGACATACCGTTATTACGTCACATGATTCATTCATTCTTCTACGCAGTTTGACGAGCTCGGACAAGTTTGTCCAGACTCTACCACCAAAAAATAATCTAGTCATATGCGCAGTTATTTCGGGAGATAAATTTAACCTGAGCTTATATGCATGTCCATCAGGAAAATATAGGTTTCGGGAGATAAATTTAACCGGATGCTGATCCAGCTTCTGCTCAATTTTGACGAGCTCGGACAAGCTTGTCCAGACTCTACCATCAGAAAAATAATATATTTTTTTGCACGTGCATTTTATTCGTAATCATTTTTCCCTGAATTCCTGTTATGCTAAAGAAAAAAATCCGAAATTTGTTTGGCCGATCATCTCGTGATTTTTACTTTTTTATCATTATCTCATGTAAAATTTATCCGTATCACCCCCTCCTCAAAAATAAATTTTTTCGGAGTAGAGATATGTGAAACCTTATCTAAAAAATATTCTGATTACGTACTTTTTCTTTCGAATTTATGAGAAAATAGGGGCTTATCGTTATGCATAGCTTATTTGTGAGACGGGGCACAAGTAGAAATTGCCATTTTTCATTTTTCGACCGGGACGCCCCGGCTGAAATTACGGTAACTCATGCCACATATTTCTGATTTCACTTTGAGGAAACCAAACCTAAATGCGCACAATGTATGCATGTACTATGAAGTATCAAGTCTTTTTTAACTTTACATGGCTCTATAACTCGTGATGCATAATTTATAAAAATTTTTTGCCGTGCTTTTTATTATCGATAGAAGTTTCTGTGCGTGGAAATACTTCTTTTATCGAGAAATTTTTCGATGTAAAAGCACATGTCTTTGTTTCTGTCTAACCTTTCGAGTTTCAGAGAAGAGATGAAAGAAAAACATATAAAAGGGGAGTATAGCGAAGTTAAGGATCACTACAATAATTTCGAACATCTTAGAATTTTTTCACAACCGCCCAGCAATGGAAAATACTTTATTTGACAGCCTTTATAATTTCTTAATTGATTCTCCAGAAAACCATATCTCCGCAGTGTCTCTTGTTTATCTTGCAGTAAAAGAGAATCCGCAAATAGAAGAAAATCAACTAAAAAGCATAGTAAAAGATGTGACTAAATCTGCAATGAAAAAATGTGAAAGGAATTCTTCGCAATATAAACCCCATTCCTCAATATGGGATATTCACCCTTTGACATTTTCCGATCGGACAACTTAAACCAACATACTAGTTATTGCATCTTTGGCCTTTATTGATTCAATAGTTTATTCGATAATTATTGAATCAATAAAAACAAAAGATGACTTACGTGTAAGAATTAGTATGCTGTTCTAGGTCTGTCCGAATTAGCCCGATCGGAAAATGTCGAAGGGGGTGATTTTCCTAGCAAAAATCCCATATGTGTTCACTGTTATTTTTTTTGGCGTATACTGTTAGGTCTCGGCAATAACGAGACAATCATTGTTCTGTCAAATAAATGTGCCCAAAATGCTGGGCAGGCAATAAGTTTGTCCTGGTTATGTTATAGTTACTGTATGGGTTGTAAACTTGCACGGCTTAACCAGTTCCACATGGCTGAAGGCCATGAGAAACGGATTGAACCTTGCAAATTTAGTTATTTTATACAATCCATATAATAATTGGTTGCTATTGTGCCCACTAGGCCTCTATGATAACGAAATAATGTCTAGACGTTTATTGCTTGATTAAATAATATACTCTACCCAGAACATTAAGATCGTCTTTATTACAGTATTTATTTAGTTATTGTGATGCAGACTAGTAGCATCCACCTTTTTCGGGAAAGTTAGTAAAAGTTTCTTTTTCTATTTTGCAAGTGTATTGGGTGTTCATAGGCATGGTATTAAAAAAAGACATTAGTGTTTTTAATAAAATAGCATCTTTATATATAATCTAGCAAGAGCGATGTTTAAGTGGTAGATCGCAGTTGAAGGATATAATTTTCATAGTAAAAATTGGCAGAGAATTATTATTACTTTTATATAATGTTGGAATGCTAAAATTTTTTAACAATATGTAAAATCATATAGTCATTAAGGCAAAAATACCAATAACTCACAATTTACTAAACCAATTTTAATAATTCTACTACTTTATAATATTTGTTAGAAATTCAAAAGTTTACTTGATATAAAAAAAATTATTATAAACTAGCTGTATTTCACCTTTATAGAAAACTAAATTAACTTCTGACAATTTCTATTAAATTTACTTAATCTAAACTTCAATCTCTTTACATAAAGTTCTTACATGAAGCAATTTACAAAAAGCTGTAGATAGGAGTTACAATATTTTAGAGTTTTCAAATTTTGTTCTAATTAAATCTTTAATTTTGCTAATTAAAATTTACAAATTTTTCTTTTCACATTTGTATATCATATCAGCAGATTTACAGAATTGGACTTGTTTTAAGACCCCAAATTTCATATAATTTTACAAGTTAAACCCATTTTATCTCTAAAATCTAATAGGTTTATTTATCTCTTAAACCATCTAGCAGCTATATTTGGCTGCTAAAATGTTTTTTTTATATATTTTTTGTAATTACTTAAAATTTTATTAAGCTTGACTCTCCTATTTCTAAACTAAAACAAAAATATAACATATAATTAATTAATTTTTTTTTTTTTTTAAACTTTGGCAACCTTGCGATAATCCTTTATTAAAATTATTATATAAAACTAATACATAATGTTGAGCTTAATATTTAGGCTCAACATCTTCCGGCTACCTCATGGGTGCCCAGAAGCAGTCTGCCGCACTGGTCTGAAAATTTTTTTGAGGCCAGAAGGCTAATATCAGGTTAGCTATGCAAGCTATATCAAAAAGGTTTGTAGCTGTTTTGAATTAGATCTCTAAAGCTATCATACTATCGATTCTCTATATTTTTTAAACTCTCCTCTTTTTAAGTTTTCTATCTGTTTTATTTAAAACCCGTTCTTTAGATCTTGATTCGCCAAATTCTGGTCCAATTTTCCTTTCTTCTGCTAGTAACTTAATTTTCTATTTTTTGTTTCTAGTTAGGATATCTTTGCTGATTTCCCATTTTCAGAGAAGTTCGCATCTATTCTTCTAAATATTTTCATGAAAGCAATTCCATATTGTGTCTAAAGCAAATTGTTATTATCAATTGTCTTCCAATATTCTACTAATATCTTCTT